ATAATCAAGATGTTGGCCTTGAGGCCCTGGGACTGGGGCATCTGGGCAAGCAGGAAAGGTTACTTTTCATTGTGCTAGTTGAATTTTTAGTGTGCACATATGTTACTTTTTAAAAAATATTTTTATTAATTTTTTTTTTTTTAGAGAGAAAGAAAGGGAGAGGGAGAGGGAGAGAGAAACATTGATGTGAGAGTAAAACATTAATTGGCTGTCTCCTGTACGCCTCCTACTGGGGATTGAGCCTGAAACCTGGGCATGTGCCCTGACCAGGAATTCTACCGGCAACCTTTTGGTGCATGGGATGACGCTCAACCAACTGAGCCACACCGGCCAGGGCTGCATGTGTTACTTTTTAATTTTAAAAATATTTTTAAAAGATTAAAGACAAAGGTCAGTCTCTTTCTTATGAAACTTGAAGGATGCCACCAACCGTCCACATGAAGCCAAGTTGTCCTGGAAGATTTCATACACACCTTCCGGAAACAGAGTTGTCTTTTTATTTTTAATTTTGTTACTATAAAAGTTGTGTGTGGTCATAAAAGAAAGCTGGAAAAGTAGAAGGAAGAAAAAAATTGCTCATGGAGTTGCCACCTAACTGAGCACTCTTCAAAAGCAGTGATTTCCTGAGATAAAGTTTTTCCATAATTGGAATCAATATCTTTCATTGGTTTCCTGATCTTTTTTTTCACGTACCATTGCATGATTACAAATATTTTTCCTTGTCCTTAACAATCTTGGCAAAAGACCCCAGTTATTTTTGTGGATGTGATTCTCCCTTGGCCGATTCTTCCCAAAGTGAAACTAATTCTCCTTGTTGCTGTTCACTCGTTTGATTCTCCGGCACGGTCAGTGCAAGGACAGAGCAGCTTGCTGCCAGGCCTTGGTAGCCACTGTACATCTTTGAATGCAGTTTAGATTCTGTTGGCCTTTGGACCTCTTGCGAAGTCACTTCTATCCCTGGTGGCATTGTTGCCATGGGAACATGAGAGTTGGTGCCCTACAGAGCATCCACCTGAGCTCTTGGATTGGGCTGGAGTTCAAGACTCCCCCTGGTGGCGGGAATCGGCAGGCTCAGAATCTGACCCAATTAGATTCTTTTTAGCTCAGGTCAAGAGCGCGGGATAGACTCCCATCCTCTTTCAAACCTGGGTTGATAAGCCAACAGCAAGTGTCACTGAAGCTGGTTGCAGGTTGGAGCCCACCCAGACTCTGCCCTCCAGGCACGAATCAGGAGGGCCACCTCGGAGACCTACCTTGTCACGAGCATCTACTTGGCATCAGGCGAGTCCCATAACTTCACAGAGAAGCAAACTGAGATTCAGTGGCTAGACATTTGTGGCAGAGCTGGATTCAGACCCTGGCCTCACCTGTCTGTGGTTTTAGGGTTTGATTTCCAGCCTGAAACAGTTATCGACGTGGGGGGAAGAGGGTGGAGGGTGTTCTCACCCGCCTATTTGCCAGGATGCTTCAGGCACCCGGAGGCCTCACGCTCAGCCACTTTGGAACCAAACTGGGATGGAATTAGTGTCTGCAGGGGTCCAGGAGAGGGCGTGGAGGATCACCTCGAGAGGCCAGCAGCAGAAGCGGATCTGAGGTTCCTTGTAAGGAGATGGCAGGGGGAGCCTGCCATGTTAGCATTTCTTCAACGCCGAGGTTTTGTCTGTTTTTCCCAGAGCTTCTAGAGCTGGCCAAGTGCCCGTGACTTGGTGCCGGCCAGACCATGCTGATGCTGCTCAGTGCTCTGACTTCCTGGAGATCTTCCGAGTGTCCCTGCAGTGCCTGGCACTGGCCAGGGCTGGCAGTGCAGTTAGGTGAAGTGCTTCAGTCTGGACCTGGGCCCACATGAGCCCTGATCCTACCTTTTCCTCATCAGCTGCTTTCCAACCCTCTCCCCAACATGTGGGGTTGACCAGATGCCCCAAGTAGCTCTGAGCCTCTGACTTATGGGATCTTTCTGGAGCTTCATGGCTGGGTGTGATTCAAGGGAACAGCCTGAGGAGCAGGCCACTTCTGACCAGGGTGGTATGTGACGGCACAAGATTGGGTGACTAGAATAGTGCTGAGATGCTGATTTTGGGTGACTCTTACATCAGACACAAGTACGTTTAGAGTTCTGGGCAACTAATGGTTTGTGGACAATCCCTGGCCTTGAACTGCTTGTGGGCCCCAGGTCTTCTCTCACCTACGGTGTTCTACCCATGGCATTGCCTCCATCCAGTAGCACCGAGGATGGCAGGGATTGTGGCAGGTGTTCTTTGCCCTCTACACACCTGCCAACAGCACTTGGGCAGTCACTCCACCCCCTCTGGAGGTCCCTGTCCAGGTGTCAGGCAGCAGCATCTCCTCCGATGGCTCTTGAGACCATTGTTCTACACTACCTATGGGCTCCTCCAGGCAGCTGACATTGAGCTGTCCAGGTTCATCTTAATCATGCCCAGTGGGGATAGACACTCCTTGGGAATGTGCAAGGCAGGGATGTGGTCATCAGTGAAAGAGATCACCATAGAGCAATGCGGTGATTGTGGCCCCCCAAATTCCAGAGAAGCTGGTTAAAAGATGTGTTTTTCTATGTTTAAGCTATAACATTCGGAACAGGAGCTTTAACATGGCCAGCAAATGAATTATTGTGAACATTTTCTTGCCTGATCTGGGCAAGACACACATCTCTGCTTGTCCCCGAAGCAAAGAACAACCTCGGAGGGAACCACAGAAGCTGGTATTCACAGTGGCACCGTGGACAAAGCAGCATCACGAGTAATGAAACCCCCAGCAATAGATAAACGGTGCTGGGAAACGCAACAGCAAGAAGATCAATGTCGTCTCAGAATCAACAGGCTCACACTGCTGCCCTCTTCTTGCTGTGTGAGATGTGCAACCAGCCAGGAAGGTGCACTTGTCGGAAGCAGACTAACCCTGCCCAGGCAGAGGACCTGCCGTCATGAAGACTCTTCTCGTGCACTGCTGAGACGTCAAACCTGCACACACCTCTCTGTCCACGGTTCAGTCTTCTTTGATAAATCGCGGAACCTCAGCGGGCCCATTGATTTCAGCCCACAAGTCTTTAGTGCACTGTTTATGAGACGGAGCTCTGCAAAAGAGACTCCCCAGGCCCTACCCACCATCAGGGCAGCCTGACCTAGATATTGGGGTTGTCTGAGGGGGAGCAGGAGGACAAGAAAGCTGACCATGTCGGACAGCCGAGCAGTTGAGTTGGGAAGGAAGTGAAGAGGGGGTGGGCCTTCCAAATTAGGGAAACATCTGCTGTGTCATGTGTGTGTCAAAGGAAAGTCACTCTAGAGTCAAACGGCAAGGACAGCCCACTAGCCACGCCTGCCCATCTCTGCTGCGAGGTAGGACTCAGCGGGGATGGAGTGAGAGAGGGAGGGTGGGGAGCTGGAAAGTGGGGTGCGGGGGGTAGGTAAAGAGCGGTGGGAGGGCTGCAGGGATGAGGTGGCCAAGGCACTAAGGGGCCAGGATTTCGGATGGAGCCTTCTGATGGACCCTGGAGTGACCCGGCTTTGAGGCTGGGAGCAGATGGAAGTTGTGCAGGTCAGCAAGGAAGGGGGACATGATGGGAGCAGCAAGATGGGGCAGAGTGGAGGTGGGGGTGAGGGAAGACGAGGCCTCCACAGGGGCTGTGGGGAATTGGCAGACCCAGGGCCCAGCTGATGTCGGGGAGGCCAGAGCGTGAAGGCCACCTCTTATCCCCACGGTGTCTCCACACCCTCTCAGGGCCTGCCCAGGAACCCCTGACATGGGCTTGCTGAAGGTTGGGGAGAAGCCAGGGAGGGGGCTTGGAAGGGAGGCTGGGTTTGGGGAGGTGGGGTAGAGACCGGAGTTCTCCGGACTGGAGTTTCCGATAGGACCTTCACCTGGAGCCCAGTAGTGGGGGTGGGGCACACTCGCTCTGGGCCCCAGAGTCCGAATGGGGCGGCCCACCTGGATGAGAGCGATTGCTCACCAGCATCACCTGCGTGGGTGCTGCTGCAGGCTGGAGGGGCTGGGCGCCCCTTGGCACACGTGAGCTCCTCCTTTAGGGGATGCTTCCCCCAAGGCGGAGGCCTGGCTCAGGCCCTGGGGGGATTCTGTTGTCATATCTTGGGGGGTGAGGCCTGGTGTGGGGTTGGGGAGCTCCCTTGTGCAGTAGGTCAGCACCTGCCCCTTCACACTGCTGGGTCTGACCCCAGGACTGAGGGCACCCAGTTTGGGGCCTAAGAAGTAGATGTCCGCTTTGGAGCCCTCGAATCTGCTGGCCCTGGGTGGAGGCAGCTTCCCTTTGAGCCGTGGGCGAAGGTAGCTCTGCCTGGCCACCCCCGAGGCCGCTGAGATGTCGCCCTCAGAAAGGAGCATCGCTGCTGGCCAGGTGCCCGCTTGCCCCTGGGGGTGTGTGGGTTTCCTGAGTGTTCCGGAAAGATTCACAGGTGAAGCCCAGCCTGCACTCATGTTGCCATGGAGAACAGGTCCGTCGCCCTCACCAGCCCCTGAGCTGCCACCTGGGTCCTTGGAGCCGTCAGGTGGTGTCACACAAGGTCCCTCCAGTCCCCAGCGCAGTATGGTGTCTGAATAACCGTGAATCTCCAACGTGGGAAGGAGGGTTTGACTGTCTCCCTCCCCGTCGATTTCGCTCAGCACTGGGCAGGCTTAGACCCGTGAAGAAGCTCTGCCCTGTGAGCCGCTGCTCCTTGGGCATGGGGTGGGCAGAGGACAGACAGCTGGAAAGCCCTGGGGGAGGGAAGAAGGCTGAGGGTCCTGCCAGGGCGCAGCCGCCGCACGTGGGCATAGGGACAGGCCCGAGTGGCCACTGCTTCGGTCTGCCAGGCCCTACTCCTTCAGAAACCAGCCATGAGCCTCCCGACACCAAAGGAGCTGCGATTGCCCCGGGCACAGGCTGGCGCTTGACCCTCTGGAGACCGAGCCCCCTCCGAGGACAGAGAAAGGGCCAGCGAGAGGAGGGAGGGGCGCGGGCCGGAGGGTGGGGTGGAAGGTGCAGGACCGGGCCGGCTCGGTCTCTGCAATGAGGAAGTTCTCTGCAGCTCGTTTCCTTTCCCTCGCAAAGCGCCTGAAACAGGAAGTTGTCGGTCAGTGAGCTGGTGGCAGCAGCCGGGGCCACAGAGAGGGGACAGACCGGGGCTGCAGCGCGGGGACCTCAGCTCCCTTTGGTGGCGTGTCGGTCGTGCGGGTGGCCGCCGGCCCGGCCGAGGAGGCCCCCGCCCGCCATGGTCCCCTGCTGGAACCATGGCAACATCACCCGCTCCAAGGCCGAGGAGCTGCTCTCCAGGACCGGCAAGGACGGCAGCTTCCTCGTGCGCGCCAGCGAGTCCATCTCCCGGGCCTACGCGCTCTGCGTGCTGTGAGTAAAGGCTCCCTCCCGGCCATGCCCTGCGCCGCCTGGCGCCCTCCCCTGCCCGGGTGCAGACAGGCAGGGGTGCCGCTCAGAGAGGGGAAACCAGCGTGGGGCGCAGCTGGGGACCCGCCGAGGTCACGGGGTCTTGATATCACGCATGGAGTGGCCCGACTTGCACTCTGCCCAGGTTTGTCCGGGGCCCAGCTGAGGTCCACGGTGGACCGCCTGGCCCCGGGGTTCAGGTTTGGCAGCGCTGAACCCTCGGAGCACCCCCCTCCGAGGCCTGGTCACACCCCGAAGCTGCCCGGGAGCTGTGGTGCCAGGCATCCTGGGGGCTCCAGGGCCCAGGGGAAGGGGCGCGGGCCTCTGAGGCAGGCGGAAGCTCGGGGCTCCATGGTGGTGGGTGTGTCAGGAGGCAGCTCACTCAGCCCAGGGGCTGCTCGGAGATGCCCAGAGTGGAAACGCTCATGAAGAGCAGATGTGGCAAGAGGGACCCTCCTGTGCCCAGGCTCCGGCAGCGGGAGAAAGCCATCAGTGGGGGAGACACGAGTAAGGGGTGGGTTCACTCGAGAAAGGACTTTCAGCTCACCCAGCAGTGACTTGCGGGGCCCTGAGCACAGAGGAAGTCATCGTCACAGCAGCCCGGGCCTCTTTCCCCTGGCCTCTCGCTCCCCACCCGCTGGGGCCTCTGCCCTGTGAACTGCTGCTCCCTGGCTCTGGATGTTGCTGAATGTGGCAGTTGTCCCAACAGCTGAGGAACCAGGCACTTGCTGAAGGTTCCGTTTTAAAACACCCTCTTGACCCATGTCTCAAGGAGGCCCTCACCCCGCAGCGCTGTGGTCCACCCATCCAGCTGGGGCCTCGTGGGCAAAGGGCATGTCCCCATGTACCTCTCAGCGGTGGCCCTGGGCTTGCAGAGAAGTCCCTCTGAGCTGGCAGGGCCCTGCCCCGCTCCAGGCAGGGGCGAACGTGTCACTGAACACGGACCCCGTTTAGAACAGAGTCTGAGCATGTGCGCGTTATCCCATTTCATCCTCCCGGCCACCTGAAGTGCGGGTCCTGTTCTCACCCCACTTTGCAGATGGAGACACTGAGGCTCAGACAGGTTACATGAGAGCTCAGAGTCAAAGCCAAGGCCTTTGGTTCCCAGAGGCTGCCCCAGACAACCAGACTTCTGGTTGTGGAGCCGGCTGGGGAGAGGTTCCAGGTGACGCCAGGAGCAGCCAGTGTTTACAAGGGCCAGCTGGAGTGCTTAGGAAACAGCCGCTCACGCTGGCCCAGAACACGAGCTCGGAGCTGGCAGCCCCACCCCAAGGCCAGCTTCCTGTGCCCCCAACTCTCACCCTCCGGAGAAGGGGCGCAGGCCCAGACTTCCCCACAGTTGCTGCCCCCGTGGGGATCTGTCAACAGAATCTTAGACAGGGTAAGGAGCTTCTGATCGGACTCCACTGGGCCCGTGTGGATCTGTCTCCTGCCTGGCCGGTGCCGATTTCTTGGGTGTCTGTGTGCGTGAGCCTCCTGCAGAGAAAGGCCCAGCTCCCAGCCTGGGCAGCAGCCCCCTGAGCAGGGCTGTGCTTGTGCTTAGGTGAAGGCTGGGCAGGTCCTGCCGGCCAAAGCTGGGACCAGGCGCCTTGGGAACTCTGGTCTGACGGCCCCTGACTTTGCAGATGAGCAGATGGGGCTCTGGGCACTGAGGCCTTTGTCTATGCTGCCCTGCTGGATAGACAGCAGGCTTCCCCTTTCCATCCTTCCACCTCCCCGCGCCTCCCCCGTCTCCCCTCACCTGCCCGGGGTCACTCGGGTCCGTGGCAGGTGTTCGGGGTCTGCACCTTAGGAGGAGCCCCTGGTGCCCTTGCCCACTGCCCTCTTGGCCCAGGGCTGGACTTCTCAGCCGCCCATCCCCAGACACCAGGGCTAGAGCCCTCCTGGGGAGCCCTGCCCTTGGGCCAGGCACCCCACCCCAGGCCAGGGCTCCCCTTTCTTTCCCTCTGTGGTGGGGGCGGGGGAGCCACCCTTCCTGCTGGATCAGGAGCCACATAGTCTGAGGGATACCCCGGACCACCAAACTTCCCCCAAACCTGGGAGACCGCATCCTGCTGCTGCCCTTAACCTCGCCAGTTAAAGAGACTTTAAGACTAACTGAATGACAACTAGCCACCTCCGTATAGCTCATTTCATGAAAGTGTTCTTTACCACCAAAGAGGCAGAAAGAACAGACTCTTTTAAAATGAAAAATGAAAAAAGCCAGTCCTTTAAATCAAATCGATGTAACTTCCTGAAAAGCAACCCGCCACCCTTGGATTTCTCTGTTCCCCGCGCGCTGGTGAGAGCCTGGCCCCACGCCGCCCTGGTCCACTGCCGGGGGCGGAAACCCTGGTGGGGGGGCAGCTGGGCTTCCCTCGGTTTCGGGGTGACGGGCCTCACCCCTGCCGTCTCTGGAAGCCAGCGAGTGCAGGGACCCTGCTGGTGCAGTGAGGTCAGAGCCCCGCCACCCTGGCCCAGAAGTGAGCCAGGCCTGCTGGGGGAGGCCACGGACACGCTCCTCCGCTCTAGAAACACCCATACGGAAAAGACCTCACGGCCCAGGGTGCCCACACCTCATCCTGCTTGTGCCTGGTCCCAGGGCTGCAAGTGCTGGTTTAGGTGGAGTGTCCGAGCTCCAGGCACTGAGTGTAGCTCCCTCAGCGGTGGCTTCGTGCTCAGACAAGGGGACGGGATTTGACTATTTAAATGGAACCTGGGAGGGGGTGAGGCAGCAGCGAAGACAACGCTGCAATTCAGTGCTGCCCATGTGACCTGGGAGTCACAGTCCCCCAGGTCTGGCAAACTGGCATTTCCTCTGGAGAGGTCAGTTCTGCCACCTGCCACCTGTCACCGGGCAGGAAAGTCCAGATCTCTCCTTAGCAACTCAGAAAGCCCTGCCATGGGGGGACCCTGGAGGCCTATCTTGGGGTACAGAGAGCTGGAGAGGGAAGACTCCACATGGTTTAGGTCCAGCTCTGCTGTCTATGTGCAGCACAGGGACAGCGGCTGTCTCAGGTGAGGTCTATGTCAGCCTCACCTCGCCCCACTCAAAGCCACCAGCAGAGTTGGCTCTGCTCTAGGGAGTCCACAGGGCACTGGGGGCTGCCCAACTGTCTTGGATGGAGGATACTGACAGGCCGTCAAGGGCGTGCCCTCTCCCGCCAGGACTGTGTTTCCACAGGGGGCCCAGTGCCTGTCGGTTGTCTGATGGAGTGGGGGCCCATCAATGCAAGGGGCATGGCCCAGCGGGGGGCAGCTCCCCCTGCCCAGGCGAGACAGGCAGAACTGCAGGTGGCCCAGCGTTGTCGGGGTTACAGCCTGCCCTCTCTGTGAGAGCATCTCAGGCCCCCAGAGAGCCTGCTGGGACCGGGTTCGTCAGCCACATCCAGCACGGAGCTGCCCGTTGGGTGGAGTTCCCCCCAACCACACCAGAGAGTTGGTTCCCCACTGGGGAGGGGCGTGCACGGGCTCGGAGCGGAGCCTGGTCCAGCAGCCGTGGCAGGAAGCAGCCTCGGTTTCCCTCGGCACACAGCCTGCCCGGGGACAGGCAGCTCCTCCCTGGGGACAGTGGACAGGCAGCCTGGACTTGGTGGCCTTGTTGGCAGAGCCAGAAAGATGAAGAAGCACAAGGAGGACATTTAGTCACCAAAGTCCCCTCAGAGAAGGCATTCTACTTGTTTGGGGAAGAAAGAGGATGGCAGTCCCTTGAGGGAGAGCAAGCCCCAGCCTCGCTCCACTAACAAAAGGTGGTCGGAACCTGTTCTGCCGAAAAGTACCAGCAGAAGACTCAGGAAGGGTGTACTGCGTGCCAGGATCCATCCTGGGCTCCTTCCGTGGGTCGCCTCCCTTACTGTCCACAGTGGCTTTGGACGAAGGGTTATTATTATTCCCACTTTGCAAATGTGGAAACCGAGGCCCAGGGAGGTTAGGTGACGAGCCATGTTTACGGGACACATAAATGGCAGGGCCAGGTCTTGAACTCTTGCTGTTCTTGGGAGGAAGGAACAGGGAGGAGCCAGCAAGCCGGGGTATGGGTGGGGCTGAGGGGTCTGCAGGGGAGACCCCTGGTGAAAGAGCCAGAGAGGGTCTCGGAGGAAAGAAAGGCCCAGGAGAGGCAGAGAGCCATTTCCTGTGGTGTGCATGGGTGTGACAGACACCTCTTTCCTCCAATCCCCTCTCGAAGACAGTAGAGCTGACACTGCTCATTCGTCACTGTTGTGCAAAGGCGAAAGCAAAGGCAAAGCCTGTGGCTTGCGTCTGGCACCGAGAGACCGTCGGGGAAGTGCTGGCAGGGGCAGGGGCAGAGCTGGAGGACCACAGGCTCCTGACATCCGGTTTGCACAAGAGTTTGTCCAAGGACGACTCTCCCGAGTTTTCTTTCTGTGTGCAAGACCCGAGGGATGAAGGCCACGGAGGCCTGCAGATTACTAGTATCCTCCACTTGAAGTGACTCAGAGCAGCCGTGGTAAAGTTGAGTGTCCCCAGGTTTTCTGTCCATGCCCAGCACCTCAGAGCATTCCTTCCCCCCAGGGTGGGCCCTGGCTCTGGTGTGGTCTGCAAGCTTGCCTACCCAACAGGGTAGACTCACCTGTGCACAGACATCCGTGCTTCTCCACTGAACGGTCGCCTATGCTGGGCCGTGAACCCAGGCATGGTGATGAGATGGCCAACCCCCCACCCCCGTGACGGAGTCTGCTCTCCCCCTAATTCACGCCACGTGGTGCAGTCCTTGTGGGGAAGCCCTCTGTGGTTGCCTCGATCTGACGTGAGTACTAGCCTCACGGTGCCCTCCCAGCACCCCTGTGGGTGAAACGTCCTTGGGTTATTTTCTTAACTGGGTTATAGTTCACATCCCATAAAACCACCCTTTGTACAGTGTACAACTCCACGGTGTTCATTCATAATGTTGTGAACTAACTGCAGAACATTTTTATCATATCATCCCCAAAAGAAACCCTGCACCCATTAATTCCCCGTCCCCC